AAAATACTCCTCAGAAAAGAAAAAGTGAAAGTAAGAGAGTTTTAACCTTTTAAATATTAAAATTATTAATAAAATTATTTAAATATTTTTAATAAATATTTTTATATATTTATTTAATATATTTAATTATTTTTTATTATTTTTAACGATTAAAATAATTAATTCTTTTAATTTTTCACAATCGTGCCCGAGAAATAACGAATATGTTTATAAAAAACTGTAAAAGAAGAAACTGAAAAATGTATCAGTCAGGAACTCAGAGTACTTCAGCACTCAGATTTCTCAACTAGCCCCTAGACCTTGTACGGCCTATTTATGTATTTTTATTTTTATTTAAGATTTTTTAACTTTAAATTAAAATAATAATAATAATAAATACAAGAATATATTTATATGGAAAGAATAATAAAGGATAGAGGTAGCCTTTTCTTTTTGATATAATTAAATTAACAATTTACATTTATATGAACTAAAAATGTAATTTTAATTTAGAGTATTACTTATATTTTATTTTAATACAATTTTTATTTGATTAGTTGATAAAAAATAATTTAGTTTAATATTTGAAATTAAAATTTTTATTTTATAATTTGTACTATTTTAAATTATAAAATAAAGTTATTAAATAAAAAAACAATACTTAATTTTAAGAAATTCATCTTTTTTTCATTCATTTAAGTTGGATAAAATAATATAATTTAAATTTCATAATAATTTTTTTATTTTAATTTAATTGAATGAAAATTTTTTAATTTTCTTATATTGAGAAAACCAATCTCTTTTATTTAATTTAATTTCTGAGGTGTTGTGGTGGTGTTTTGTTGTTGTGACAGGACCATCACCACTGCATACATAGAATCAGTTAAGGAGTTAGCATGTGAGATATTGGAGCTGATGGGAGAGGGGCTATGTGTCACAGATGCATCAGTGTGGAGCAGGATGATCAGGGACGATGACAGCGACTCCCTGTTCAGGCTCAATCACTATCCACCGTCGGATCTCCTCCAAGGGGATGATGATCTGCAAGTTGGGTTTGGGGAACATACTGACCCTCAGATCCTCACCATGTTAAGATCCAACGATGTTGGTGGCCTCCAGATTTCTGTCCACGATGGAATGTGGGTCCCTGTTCCCCCCGACCCCAATGCTTTCTGTGTCAATGTTGGTGATGTCTTGCAGGTTAGCCCCCTGTTCAATGTCGTGCTCTTTCTTTTTCTTCTGTTTTTGTACTGGTAGTAGTACTACTAGCACAGCTCTAGCCTCTAGGAAAGAAAGGGAAAAATACCATTGGCCACCCCCAAATATTTAGGGTTCTTCTTACAATATCCCCAATCTTTTCTCTTTTCTGAATTGCGGATCAATTTTTTTGATTTCATCCAATAGTTGACCATACAATACTGTTAATTGACCATCCAATAGCAATAGTGTGAATAACACCAAAAGGATAAAATGCATTTGAAAAAAAAAACAAAAAAAAGAAAAGAAAAAGAAATACATGTGATTTGAATAAGATATACTCTAATATTCTTTAAGTTAATTAACTCAATTTGAGCTGAGAAGAATTTCTTGTTTGTTTGTAGATTTGCCATAGCACATTAGTGCTTATGTTAATAAAACTTATTAAAATCACATCAGTTTTAGTTTTTGTCAATTTCGACTTGAAGACTTAGCTAGATGAAATAAAAGGTTTGCGATAGTATTGGAAGGAAATAAATGTTGGGTGAATTTTTAAAACTAATTTCAAATGTTGGGTGCATAAACTGGTAATTTATCAAAGGTTAGTTGGGTTGACAGTAACTGATGTTGAGTGTGACTGTAGATGGGGGAATCACTGCAAAACTCTTCTTTTCACTGCCAGCTTTGGATAAAGATTAGGTCAGTTTGCATCCAATGGACATGTGAATAACTGCTTGTTTCAGAACAACTGGAATTGAAAACTCCGCTTTTTACCATTTATGGTACATTGAAAGATTTCTAACGGACAACCTCATCTTTTCCTTTTCTTTTCTTTTTTTGGTAAAATTTTCTTTTCTTTTCATATTTTAGTGAATAAAATATTGAACTGGTCCTCGTGTCCTAACAGTTTAAGTTTGTAAGCATCAAAATTTGGCAACGGATGAATCCCAAGCTATATTGATTTAGGTCATAGTAGTTGGGTGAGACTATGTCTGCATTTCTTTTGATTCTTTTCACGCAGATTTATGAAAGAGTTATCAATAATAGTGCAGTAATATTTTTTTTTAACCACAAATAAATATCATTTTAGTAATTTTGAGGGGTCTCACACCAGTTTGTTAGAATTAGCTAGGACTCATCCAATTTTGACGTGTCATACTTAATAACATGTTAGAGTTATAAGTTATAATGTTAAGTGGTGTTATAATTATATTATTGTTGATTTTCAATCTCACGGTGGCGAGCTAGTAGGGTTAGTGGGGGATTATCCCTCCCTCGGGTCATGGGGTTGAATCCTAATTAAGTTTGTCATTTCCCCTTCCCCTAATAAGAACAGATACTAACTAATTGTAATGTAATTGCTCATTGTAAACAAATATGTATATATATATATATATGTTTATGAGTTTATTTAACTTATATTTTAAGGATATAGATTAAATTTTATTAATTATAATATTATTAATTAATTTTATATAAATTTTTATATCAAATTTATTTTTTTAATAAATTTTGAGTATGAATATTATATTTTATTGTAATTAAATTTAATATAAAAATTTATACAAAATTTATTATAAATACTACAATTAATAAAATTTAACGCGCGTCTTTAAAGTATAAATTAAAAAAATATATATATATTTTCCACTTTTGAAATTGAAAAAATGGTTATTGATGATTAACCGTTTCAAGTTTAGGCAATGACAAATGGGAGGTTTTTAAGCGTGAGGCACAGGGCCCTGACCAACTCCAGTAGGCCCAGAATGTCAATGGCATATTTTGGGGCACCACCGCTGCATGCACGGGTAGAGGCGCTACCAGAGATGCTTACGGGAAATGGGGCTTCTCTATATAGGCCATTCACCTGGGCTGAGTACAAGAAGGCTGCCTACACCCGACGACTCAGAGACAGTCGACTTGAGTTTTTCAGGGCATGTGGAGAAGATCATGATGGAGTTGCTTGATGGGGAAGTGCCGAAGATGCAGGGTTTTTTTTTTTTTTTTTTTTTTAGTTGTTGGATACTTGAGGT